GACACTTTTACAGGCATCCTGTGTCTTCTCCTATTTCATCCTTTACAGCCCCCTGGGTTCTTCTTTTTTATTAAAGTCTCATTCAGGAGCCTCCCATTATACCCGCAGTTCAATTCACCATGACCATTTCAGAATTAAACAAGGTGGAAATTATCATCCAGCAGCCCAAGGCTCCATTTCTATACTGAAGTAGTCAATAAAATAAATAACACATATAATGTACTATTATCATACCTGCATTTATTGTGTGTTTTCTTTACTATTTGTGTTTTTGCCCATCTCATGTTTGCACTGACTTTGCCTTTTCTCAGCACACTTCATATTGTGTTTGCAAATCTTTTTCGAATAGTCCTTGAGGTCAATTGCAGTCTCCACATATGAATAGGACCGGGGGGAAAAAAATAAATTATTTCCTAACAAAGCTTCAACTCTTTCCAATTAATTCCAGACAAACAGACAAAAGCAAGTCATTTCAATTGATCCTAAAAGCTATTTTGTAACAGGGGGGCTTTTGTGGTGTGTTGCCTGGTGACGCGGGTGTGCTGTGGGGGGAGGGGCGGGAGCCGTGGCCGGGCCCACTGTACCAGGCTTGTCATTCATCCAAATGATGAAAAGCTTCCTGAACGTAAGCTAATGAGGAGGTCCTAGAGAAACTGAGGAAAGAGAGGGAGAGAGACGGAGAGAGAAACCGACCATCAAAGAGATAACATTTAGGAGGAAAAAGGGGTTTCCTGGACCGACCGCCGATTTAGAGGGGCAACGGGGCGTCCGTACTATACCAGCCCCCGACAGTGAGCTCACACAAATGCTTGTCAAGCAAATAAAAAGTGAAATTTATGGAGGGAGGTAGTCTGGAGGGTAAGATGGAAGCTTTATCCACTGAGAGGGCTATAAAGAGGCTTCAGTAATCACACCACCCATTGCATCACAGTGGTACAAGTCAGAGCTCTGTTGTGAGAGGGACTATAACACAGCAAATTACCTCAAAAACACAAAGAGAGCATCCACATTAACAAACACTTGGAACAGAAAAAGAAACAAACGCTAGCTAGTGATCTTTGTAGGGAGAGCGCTTACTTGTTTTGGGGCCATTTCTCTTCATAAACAAAATGAAAGCAGTTTATCCTAAATTATTTATGTCCAGTAAAGAAATCTGATGGGCCAGGAGAGGATATGAAATAGACTTGTGATTGTCCAAATCCCTGTAGAACACACTTCACCTCAAAGATTAAGCTCCTTTAAGACCTTATATTAAAGACCTAAAACATAATAGTCTGACAAATTGAGGCATGATCAGCAGGGGAGCACTTCTGATGTGAACCAGCGCCTGCAGGAACCTGGAGAGTGAGGAGTGAAGACGCTGGGCAATGACGGACGATTACCATTTTTATGAATGTACAGTGCAAAAATCATATATATAGCCTTTCCAGGATAGCCTCGCAGAAACACTGCAGGTGGGGAAGCCGTTATGCCTGCTTATAAACGCTGGAATTATGTGATTCTGCTTTATGTGACACAACAGGGAAAGCACAAGAACGCTGGAAGTCAACTACCACAACTAATGGTGCAATGAAGAGGGCACTTTCCTAATGCACTGCAAAACAATGTAAACTCAAACATGGTCAAGCCCACAGTGAAATACCAACATTACTGTTTTATGGAAAATCTTCCAAAACAGAGAGGGTATTAGTGGGTAATGACGGGTAACATGGGGACATTTACAACCACAAGTTCTTATCTCCCCTTTGAAGGGTCTCAGGAGGATTATTTCCACAGTGATGGCTTCTTGCTGCCTCGATAGAAGTGAGACTCCATTAACAGGGGACAGACTATCATTATAGCAGAGCCTCTACTCATTCAATGCCTCGCCTTCAAAGACTGCTAAATACGACCCAAAAGTTCAGGGTTCAAGGGTCAGAATGGGAGCTTCAGTAATCCTTCAGTCCCCTACTAATCAATACAAGACGAGCGGAAACGCTGGAAAGGACCTGCAGGAGAGCGAAGCCCAGCCACAACAGATTATTTCCACCGTGAATGATTTTGAACTTCAGCCACTGAGTCTGAGGTGTGCTCCATGTCAGGTTCATTCACTGGAATCTGTATTCACATCACAGCTTCTCAGATACACACAAGCAGTGGAGGATTGCTCTACGCTTGCATAATCCTTTACTTTTCGTGCTCATGCAGTATTAAACCCATGAATTAAAAAAGATGTTTCTATTCTACAGCAATCTCTGGCACAAGAATTTCCTTCAGGATTAATGAAGTTCAATCTTATCTTGTGAATTTTCTGAATACTACATCCAAGGAATAATTTGTGAAGCATGAGTTAACAATACTGTAACATCTTAAAATAGGCTGTGATTATTTTATGACAACAGACTAATGAGGGACAGTGTTGCATGGTTTGTGGCTGCACCGCATCACAACTCTGTACTTAACACATTTTCACTTTAATCAATGCATTCACCAAATTAATATTCGAAATCCAGAGCAGGACATACTCAAAATCTGGCTAGCACTGTTCTCACTGAAATATGCATCAAACTTTAATCCATTTCAGAGTGTACACCAACTTAAAATTGCACCTTGGAGCACAAGTTGATCTATCTGGCACTCAAACAGATTCTCACCAAAACGTAAAATAAATAACGTGAATGCTGCCACATATTGAAGCCATAAATAATCCACTGTATGTCACTGCAGAACAAATCATCAGGGCAATTGTTATCTCTATTATTTTCTCTGCATTCTGTATAGGTGATAAACTCTGCATTCAAAAATCTATGTGTCTCTATTTTTCCAATGCTTTCTTACCAAAAAAAAAAAAGTGAAATAAAAAATAGGGGGACCATATCAAAGACTTTTTCCTGATGCAGATTTCCTTTTAAAAAAGGTGATAAAATAGCGCCTACAATCTGACCTTTGAGAAGAAAGACCCTTTGGGGAGGCCTTAAAAGGTTGCATGTGTTTGACAGCGCCAGCCTCTGAGCCGAAGTGACTTTTCCCTTCGGTCAGTGAGACATCCATGCTAACCTCCCAGTCCCGCTGAGTGGAAAAGCTGTATCGGCCACAACAGCACAGCAGTGTGCTGTCTACACACAGCCCGGGAATCAACAGGCTTCTGCGAGCCTTTGTCCATCTCTGTTTTACAGAGTATATATAACAGAGGCTTCAAAAAGTCTTAACTCAGCACAGTGTGCGACAGTACAGTACCACTAAAGCTGCTGCTGCAGCATCTCAGCATGTCCACAGAGGAATGTGCACATCCTTGATGCCTTTGATTTAAAGTAAGTTGAGACACGCAGTGTATGTGAGTGAGAGAAAAGAGGAGAGGGGAGTATAGAGAGTCAGATCCACTCTGATATGATGAAAATGTTGTAAATGAACCATGGCAACAACGCTGAGAACTTAATGTTGAACAAGACAGACTTCAAATAATAGATCTGGTGGTCAAGCCAGAGAAGATTTATCTTGATGCCTCCACCACTGAGTGGGCTGCTGGGTTGCTTCGAGCTTATTGCACTCTCACAAAGCAGCTTGGAGACTCTCAGCATGAGCGCTTGTTAATGCTCAACTCCAAAGCTTGAATTTCTAAGCAACACTGTAGATGAGCATCAGAAAGTTCATTACACTCAAAGAATCATATTAAAATATTCAGAGGACTCCACAGCCGGGGAGATTCGGCACATTTACAGCACAGCAATACCCTCATGAGTCGCACTGGACTGACATGTGATAACTTAAGGCGATATTTCAATTACAATGTTTACATTAGTAGGGAACACAGATCACAACTTAATCAAACTTAAATAAGTGGCTGTGGCTGCAGTTTCTGTATGTCTGCATTGATCAATAATGATTCCTTGACACTTGAGACTCAAGGCCCAGGCAAACTACTGTATACGATGATAAAATAAGACTTTAAAGATAACCGAAATTAAGACACAGATTCAAAAAGTGGAATGAAATTAAAACCAAATTAAGATATCTCTTAAAGGAGAGTTAGATAAGAGGATCAATAACACTCTCATGTGTGCACATTAAATATGAAATAAGAGCCAACGGTCTGCCTGCCAGCATCTTTAAAGCTCACTAATTAACATGTGATATCTAATTTGTTTTATCAGAACAAAAACCAGAGTGTGAAAACAGTATGTTGTGGTGTTACGGGGGGGAATGTGTTGGGACTATTTTCTGGACTGGCACAGTTACTTCTTGAACTTGATGTCACTGTGAAGTTGCCAGGCAACCAGTGGAGAATCTGGGTGGATTTTGTTACCTTTGGACAGGCTAGCTTTCTGTTCTTTATGCTAAGCTAAGCTAACTTGGTGAATATTGAACAGACAGTTGGTGGGATGGATCTGTGGAATGGGTTGGGTGATGGGTTGAAGCAAAGCACGAATATAAATCAATTTAAAAAACGATACAAAAAAGAAATCTTAGGGAATTATATGGTTGAGGAGGGGTTGCGTTAAGGGATGATTTTGTTTGTTTGTTAAATTATTATTTTTTATTAGTATTTTTTTTAAAAAACACTGGGTGGATATTAGGGTTGTAAATAATTTGATGAATGTGTATATATTTAATTTGGGTTGTAAATAAATTGGGGATATTTGTTTGTGTGTTTATATTTGGTTGTAAATTGATTTATGAAGTTGTTTAATTTATTAATAGATAAGTAAGAAAGGGGTAGGTCATATAAGTTTTACTTCTACCTGCTCCTTTTCGGACACTGTTCTTTTTTGTTTGTATTCTGTTTTCTGTCTTTAAATTTTATTTTTTTTTATTTTCAAAATAAAATAAATTCATTCATTCATTCATAAGAGTGGAATTGATCTTCTCATCTGTAACCCTTGGCAACAAAGCAAATCATTTCCCAAAAATGTCAAACTATTCTTTTAATTGGGTTTGGAGTGAATCCAGGCAACTTTTAAGGCCCCTCTAACCACATACAGCCCACACAAGTGCATCACTATAGGACAGGAGAAGAGACTTACTGGCTGCCTGAATACGGGCCTTGCGGCTCACCACCAGCCCAAAAGAATTCTCGGCCACGCACTCGTAGTCGCCCTCATCAGACGAGCCGTCGGATTTGGTCTTCTGGAAGTGAGCGATCAGGAGCGAGCCGTTGATGAAGGTGTTGTGATGCTTATCCTGAGTTAACAGCAGGCCGTTGTGCCTCCACTGTGTCGTAATTGGGGGGATGCCGTCCACTTGGCAGTGGAGCATGAGGGGCTGCTCCTGTACAGCAATGATGTCAGTGGGCTCCAGTGTGAAGGAGAGCTCTGCTTCGCACATCACACCTGAGGAGAGATACACACAAATGATAACTCAGTAGCTATTTCAGCTTATAGTTTTCCTCAGCAGATGGAGTTTGCTCAGTTGTAATGACTAACCTCCACTGAAGCTCCAGAAAAAGCTAACAAGTGAACTCTAGTTAAGATTACAGGTTGAGATTCTGACTTTTAACGGCAACACTAAAGCTGTATTCATCAATCCATTCATTCATTTCCCATACATGCTTATTACTTTCCAGGGTCATGAGGGACTAAATATCATTTTCATATCATCCCTCGCACCTTAACTAACAGGAAGAATGCTCAACATGTCATATCACTGGTAACTGCTCACGAGGCCTTACAGCTCACAAATAAAAAGCCTTGACTGGGCTACCTCCAGGCTACAGTCACAAGGGAATTCACAGGCTATAGATCGAATGCACCATGTGAGCATGTGTACTCTTGTACTATACACACAGGCACACATGCATTGCCTTGTATGTGCTGTAACCGATGGCAGAAACTTTGTCACTGTGATAACTGCGCTCTTTTTCATCACTCGACGCAAAATGATATGCAACTACTTTTTGTTGTTGTAGGGATGCTTTCCACTTTATAATGACATGATTTGATTTTTCATATTTGCAGTTCCTAAAGAGGTAGGAGCAGGAGAACAATAAATAAAGGATGTAAACAGCCTGACCTGACTCGGTACTATAAAAGAGGAGCTTAGAGGGCTCTCTTGGTATCATGTTTCAGCGGCTGATGGACTAAGCACTACCAGTCTCTGCCCCAGGCCCTGGAATCTGGTGGGAGGGGGGCCAGGGGAGGGCAGCAGAGGGGGGGCAAAGCACAGGGGTCAAAACAGAGAACCTCCGGCTTCATCCCTCAAATTCCAGCCGAGGAATACTTCCCCTTAGGTGCAGACAAGGAATTCATTGACACACTCCTCCATGAAGATCACATATGGAGTATAATGCAAAGAAACATTTCCTCTCCCTCTCTTCTTGCTCTGTATCCTTTCTTTATGTGACCCCCCTCCCACCCAACCCCTTTTTTTTCACTCAACAAGCACGGAAAGTAAATGGCCATGGGACCAGAGAGACATCAGTGCTACCACTTGTGAAAAACAAGGGGGTGGTGGTGGAGAAATATTTAACCCTTAGCTGGCAGGCGGTGATCCCCCTGCCTGGGCTGCTGCTCTCCAAAATGATGCTGGCCACAGAGCGCCATCTCCTTTGGTCCTACAGAGATCACGCTTTCACACAGGAAGCAGCCATCAAAGAAAGAAAAAAATAATACAAAGAGCCTGCAGCCATACATCCAGTCAGTCACACTTCATGTTACCCGGATGATTCTCAAATAAAGTAAGTATTATATACAGAGCCAAATGCTTCTGGAAAAATCTGAGGATGTGCAACACATGACTGTTTTACATTAGATCATACTGACTGAAAGATAATGGAGGCTTTGTTTTTCAGCTTTCAAAGCTGTCAAATGATGTTAGTCAATGTTATCACGCCTTGCAGCAAACAGGTTAATAACAGTTCAATGCTCAATGTGATACAATGCCATCGATTTGGGGTTGATTAAGCAGCTTTATTGATGTTGTATATACTTCCTCATGACTTCAGTTAATCAGTTTCTTCCATTAGCCGGAACAATGTGAAAGTTCTTGGGCTTTGACTTTCCTAATGAATAAAGCATGTTGCTAGAGTGACTGGCTAATGCAATGCTGTGCTGTGCTCTGGGAGGGAAGGTTACAAACAACAGTGTGAAACAGGTTAAAGAAAGTCATTTTGAAGATAACACTGAATCATTTGACAGATCCAAGGAGAAAAGGGAGATAAGAGGACAAAATAAACAGGCGATAGTTTAGGTTAAAGGCCATCTGTGTATGCTGAGCATCCAGAGTGTGTGTGTGTGTGTGTGTGTGTGTGTGTGTGTGCAGAGAGGAGAGCACAGCTGTGGAAACTGGTGGCGAGAACACCGCCTTCACAGAAACACATGTCCGCTGACATGAATCTGTACAGGCGTGGATTTTCATGGTTAGATAAGGAGATGGACAGAAACGCACACACACATCCTAATGCGGAGAAAAGAGACACTAGCATGTCGGATTACCGGGTGAGATCAGAGACAAGTGTTGGCTAAGTGTGGCTCATGCTCTGGCTTACTATTGACAGATAAGTGTGGCTGGCTGGCACAGAGGTTTACTGCTGCAACAGTAAAGTTAGGATCACACACCAGCAGCTACTGACAGACAGATGTAGTTAGCAGACATGAGTATGACTGACACACCACTGGCTTCATACAGGCAGCTAAGACAACTGCTTGGCATCATATCATATGGTGCGTTTATGAAAAAACTGCTGTGAAATGGTCAGATTTAGTATCTTATAAATGCTACTGAACATCGTAGAATAGCCATTTTGTTATAGATTTGGAGTTTTTATTGCTAAATGAACTGCTGTGACTCCTTACGCTCTCAGCATCCATCTGTTGCAGCTCACTCTTCCTCACCATAACAATACATACAATATCCTTTAAATTATTAGTTAAATGTGCTATGACAGGCTGCTGCAGGCTGCATCATTGCTTTAAAGGTGGATTGTTTTCTGGATTTATCCTCCGTTAATGTCACTGAACTATACATGGAAAGCTGAAGCAGCATTTGCTCTTTGAAAAAAACAATGCACACCACCTATATTCCACATGAGCCTTGAACATCATATAGAAACAGACTTATAAACTCATTAAACATTACTTCAAACATGTATTCTGGCATGCATAGCAAAAGTCACATATTTGCATTTAGATCATGGAGGCTCTATGAGTATAGATGAAACAGCAGGGAGCCACCAGCATAAATGAACTGCTAAAAAGAACATCAACAGTGCAGCTCAATTTCTTTTTTTATCAAGTCTATAGTGTCTGGCGCTGAGGCAATATTTATTCTACTTCCAGGGGGAAGACCACGCATGCAGCATTGATAGTCTTGTTCCCTCCTATAGGCTTGTGCTGGGTAAATTATTAATCAAAACCCTTTCATTTAAAGCTACCTTAATGCTCATGAGCATGTTTTAAGTAGTCTGATTTTCACTTGCTATAATATCAGCAGCTCAGTGATGATTAGTAGTAAAATACAACACATGAATGCTGAGAAATAGTCTGTGTGTGGACATGATGGGGCAGCTGTTGCACGGTTTACCTCTCACAGAAGTATTTACCAGTAGTATCTTTCTATAAAAGTCCTAACCCTATACACCTAATACATTCTGGTCACTTTAGATTCAAATTAATTGGTAGACATAGGCACATACAGCAGGCATGTACAGTAAACAGTTGGTGAAGTTGAGTAAAAGTTCTCACTCTTTGACCGAACATTGATACGGTCCGTCTTTCTAAAGCAACAGACACTAGCCAACTCAGTCAGTCCACTCAAAGCAAACACTTGTCCTTTGATAAACTCATATGCTTGTATCATGAGATCTTCTGAATGATCTACAGTGTTTTGCCTCAGCTCTTCATGCTATAAGAGATCTAATGCCGATATTCTCCTTATTGCTTCTTATCAACTCTGCTTTAAATGACATAAAAAAGTGCCTTTATCTTAACCAAATCTAATCTCCGAAGGCAGACTCGGGGAAAAAGAGCTCCGTTTATTTAATCCGATGGATAGATTGGAACTACATCCATCACCGAGCTGTGTTTCTGAAGTTTTTGTTCCCAGCACTCTGACTGAACATGTTATGAACCACTGTGTACTAGCCTTTATGATTCCAGTCGGGGCCATTGTGGGTCCCTGTGTGGTATGCTTTGCAAATACTCAATACTCTCTCCTGCCTTTGAATTAAGGGGCCTCACATAGAGAGAGAAACTGTCTATCATGGGGAACAAAGGGCCAAAAAAAAGGAAATTTGAAAAGGAGGAGAGGGACAGTCTTGACATTTAATCTGTACAAATATTCTCCCCAGCAGGCAATAACCACAGTCTTTTAATTTATCCTCAGAGCAATAACCACTGTCATTTCGCCCAGCCATGGGGAGGTGTGCTATGGACTGACCAGCCAGGAACTCCACTTTAGAAGTCCCCTGATATGAAATGAAACTCCATCTGCTTTAAAAGTTAGCTTTAAGAGTTAAGCAGGATATTTTGATTGAGGAAAATGAAATTCAAACGCCTATATGCATGTACAAAATACAATATCTTTACATTTGGTTTAAAAGTGTCATAAGTATTACAGTAATGGGTCCTAATGTCCTCCCTCAGTGCTGAATTTGCAATATTGAGACCATGTGATTAACAGTAACAGTGGGAAAGTGGCTCTAACACAGCAGAACTACAGTTGTGAAACTATTTTTTGCTCTTTGTATCACAAGACTTTCTCAATGCAGGAACTTCACATCTAAAGTTCTGCAGGATGCACACAAAAATTTAACTTTACACTAATAAGTATCCGCGTGTAACTCAGTAACCTGCAGGTACAAATTCCACAGTGCACACGGCTCCAGCACCAGCCTTCGCATTCGCATTTACAGCCGGAATACTTACGGTCATAGGAGAGGGGCCAAGTTCAGGGTTACTGGTCAGCAGCGTACTTATCGCTGCTTGCAGCATGCACCAAGCTCCGGAGAGCTCTAACAGCAGTTATCCTCCACAAGGCTATCACACCTTGCAGCACTGTACTCTCCTCTCTGTGTTCGGGCAAATGACATAATTCCACTTACCGATTAAAGCGTTTAGGAGTATTCCCAAAAAGCACGGAACAAGGCGGCGGCGCCTTGTGGATGCCATTTAAAACACTTATAGAAAATATTCCAGCACTTGCAGAAGACAACGTGAGGTGAATAGACGAAGAGGGAGTGTTTTTTTTTTAAAAAAGAAAAGCACACACACGAGAAATATCCAGCCTTAGCTACTACATGTTCCGACCTACACTGCTACAGTTTGGTGGCTCGCTGGGGTCGAACACGCTTTCGCCATTTTAGCCATCTATCAGGAATCTGTCAGCATCCCGCTCCCTCTCCTCCTCACTCACTCAGTCTGCTGTATCCCAAAGACAGCCTCTCTCTCTCTCTCTCTCTCTCTCTCTCTCTCTCTCTCTCTCTCTCTCTCTCTCTCACACACACACCACACACACACACACACACACACACACACACACACAGTCGCTGAATCTGCTCTCGGAACAAAAGAGCCGACTGCTGACTGCTTTGCACCCAACGCATGAGAAACCTGCACAAACTGCATGATTTCTGCATGTCAACAAAACAGCCACTACTACTCCTGCACACACACACACACACACACACACACACACACACACACACCAGCAATAAAACACTACTAACAATACAGTTAGTAATAGGCTGCTATTATAAAAAATAAAATAAAACACATGATATTCATGACCATAACAGCACAACTATGATGTAATAAAATGCCACTGACAATGTTTCTAACAATCAAACAGACTATAACCAGTAAAATCTTCCCTCTGTCACTGGTTGCACATGTGTTAACAAAATATATGGTTAAAAAAATGACAAAAACATCCATAAAGCACATTGTCCGCACTGAACACATGGCAGCTGCTTGTATATTTTTTTTAAAAGCAGGCTCAGTTTCAGAAGGACAATAAAAACAGCATTATGAAATTGTGTGAAGTGGATGTGTTTTATTTTTATGGCTCCACACATGTGAGGCTGATATCATAAATAAACAAGGAGGACCTCTAAAACTCAGTTACAACAAAGCAGCGGGTGTTTAGCTGTACTCCATCTCCCCCTAGTGGGCGAAACACGTACTTTGAATCTCAACTAAAATATAAATAAATAAATAAATGAATAAAAAAGCTATTACTTTGCTATTGAATTGGCCAATGTCTAGTCCCATATATGAGGTAATGTATTGTACACTAATCTAATATCACAATGGATGCACCTATGTGGTATCACGTGACAAATAGACAACTGGTGCTTCACTGAAAACTCACCTTGCAACTTCCACTTTATAATAATACTACATATATATTATACTATATCATAGATGTTTTTACTTCTTATTTATTAGGCTTTTGCAATCAGGGCTGCTACCAATGGACATTTTTAGTATTTACTATCCAGCTCATTATAATTATTTTTATTGTGTTTATTTCTTTATTAAATAATTTACCATTTATCGTTTTGGTCTATAAAACATCAGGAAAATACTGAAAAAGATTTCCATCCTAGTTTCCTAGAGTCCAAGATGATACCTTGACATTGTTTGTCCAACCAGCGGTCCAAACCCTACTTACTTTATGTAATTGATTTCAACTGGAGAACAATAACAACAGCAATATGGAATTATATGTTGTGGTGTTTTAATGCAAAGCCCATGGTTGAGTGTAAGTGAATGTGGTATGATAAATAAACCTCTGACACACAATTACAACCAAGCTGAGCTTGTTTAGATGTACTCCAGCTCCCCCAGTGGAGAAAAAATGTACTTTAGGTCTAAAAAAATATTTAAAAAAATCAAAGTCTCTGTGCACCCATCATTATTTTACAGTCTCCAATCTAAGATTAGATGAACAGGCGTTTTTCTATGGGTACTTCATCACACTAAAATGGCTCTCATTTCCTTTCTTCGCCCTAATGCATCTGTATGACTGATTATATTAGAAAATTATGTGTACCAAGTACCAGTGACAATACTCTAAGTTAAAAAGAGAGAGATAAGGAGAGAAAAGCCAGTCAGAAACATTATAGGGGACTGAAATTATATCAACTCACAGGCATGCACACTGTTAAAAAGTAAGTTAACACAAATCTACTTATTTAACGTCTTTAATTAATCATGTATGCAGTCACTTTAGTACTCATATTAAAGTGTTCATTGTACTGTCCCAGAAATTAAAGTGAAAGCACATTTACTCTGCAGCGTTTTCGCCTTTATTTTCAATGTTACAGCCTGCTATTTATGTTAGTGTTAAAAAAGTGGAGCTTGTGACCTGTAAGTGGCCCTGATGAAAAGCCAGGGACTCAACAAAGCATCCATCGTCTAAAGAACATGTCCCTGAGATATATGTGAAATATAACTCACTCTGGAAGTGCTGAAGCATTGGTTGGGTGATGCCAAAGCCTAGCATTCACATGCTAAGGTATCATTAACAAACTATGGAAGATTTGAAGTACATTCAGTAGTTTCTAAAGACTGGTGCTATCCTCCAGTGGGTGTTAGGCTATTAAAGCACCCTGCATTTACTTAAAATGATACTTTTGAGGATACCAATTGTCAAGCAGCGTTGCATCATATCAATATGGGTAGTATGTGTAAATGAACTGTGGTAAACTTCCCTCCATCTTACCACAGAGCTGCCAACTCTCGCGCATTGACCGTGAGACTCATGCAATTGACACTTTTCACACGCTCTCAAGCCACATGTCCATTTTCTCATGCAGTGAAAACTAAATTCATAACTGATAACGTCTTGGCGTGAAAAGAGGATACTGACGTCGCACGGACAGACAAGACAGAGCAGCAAAACGCAGCAGCACTGTGTTATTCGGGTCATCAGGGGGAAAGCAAGAAATATACAGATATTCAATTCAATTCAATTTTATTTATAAAGCCCAATATCACAAATCACAATTTGCCTCACAGGGCTTTACAGCATACGACATCCCTCTGTCCTTAAGACCCTCACAGCGGATAAGGAAAAACTCCCCAAAAAAAAACCCTTTAACGGGGAAAAAAAAACGGTAGAAACCTCAGGAAGAGCAACTGAGGAGGGATCCCTCTTCCAGGACGGACAGACGTGCAATAGATGTCGTACAGAACAGATCAGCATAATAAATTAACAGTAATCCATATGACACAATGAGACAGAGAGAGAGAGAGAGAGAGAGAGAGAGAGAGAGATGCAGGTAATGACAGTAGCTTACAACAACATTATTGAAAGTAATAATATTATAGTTATAGTTCTGGCTACTGTGGTACAATATGTTGAAAGTATGTATTAATATCTGGCAGTATACATGTGTGACAATAGTCATATGTGTATAATAACAGTAGAAGTATGACTAATGACTAATGATGGCAGCAGCAGCAGGAGGCATCTGGCAGGACCACGGCAGCAGCACAACCACACACGTCACGCTGTCCAGGCACCGCTGCGATATGAGTTAATCTGAGAGACAGTGGAGCACAAAGGCTCCGGAGAAGAAGCCGAGTTAGTGACATCCAGAATGGCCGAGTTAGCAAGATGCAGTAATAGGATGAGAGTGAGAGAGAGAGAGAGAGAGAGAGAGAGAGAGAGAGAGAGGGAGAGAGAGGGAGCCCGGTGTATTATAGGGGGTCCTCCGGCAGACTAGGCCTAAGTCAGCCTAACTAGGGGCTGGTACAGGGCAAGCCTGAGCCAGCCCTAACTATAAGCTTTATCAAAGAGGAAAGTCTTAAGTCTAGTCTTAAATGTGGAGACGGTGTCTGCCTCCCGGACCGTAACAGGAAGATGATTCCACAGGAGAGGAGCCTGATAGCTGAAGGCTCTGGCTCCTGATCTACTTTTGGAGACTTTAGGGACCACGAGTAACCCTGCGTTCTCAGAGCGCAGTGTTCTGGTGGGATAATATGGCACTATGAGCTCTCTAAGATATGACGGAGCTTGACCATTTAGAGCTTTATAAGTTAACAGTAGGATTTTAAATTCAATTCTGGATTTTACAGGGAGCCAGTGCAGAGAAGCTAAAACAGGAGAAATATGATCTCGTTTCTTAGTTCCTGTTAGTACACGTGCTGCTGCATTCTGAATTAGCTGGAGAGTTTTTAAGGACTTACTAGAGCTACCTGATAATAGAGAGTTACAGTAATCCAGCCTTGAGGTAACAAAAGCGTGGACCAATTTTTCTGCATCTTTTCGGGTCAGGATAGGCCTAATTTTCGCAATATTACGCAGATGAAAAAATGCAGTCCGTGAGGTTTGCTTTAAATGAGAATTAAAAGACAAATCTTGATCAAATATTACTCCGAGGTTTCTTACGGTAGTGCTAGAGGCCAGAGCAATGCCATCTAGAGAAACTATGTCATCAGATAAAGAGTCTCTGAGTTGTTTGGGGCCAAGAACAATAACTTCAGTTTTGTCTGAATTTAACATCAGGAAATTGGTGCTCATCCAATTTTTTATGTCTTTAAGGCAGTTATGGAGTTTAGTTAATTGATTACTTTCTTCTGGCTTCATCGATAAATACAACTGTGTATCATCCGCATAACAATGGAAATTTATAGAGTGATTTCTAATGATGTTACCTAAAGGAAGCATATATAGAGTAAATAGGATTGGTCCGAGCACAGAACCTTGCGGAACTCCAAAACAAACTTTGGTACGTAAGGATGATTCATTACGAACGTCAACAAATTGAAAACGATCAGATAAATAAGATTTAAACCAGCTTAGTGCTGAACCTTTTAGGCCAATTAAGTGATCCAGTCTCTGCAGTAGAATTTGATGGTCAATTGTGTCAAACGCCGCACTAAGATCTAATAAAACAAGAACAGAGACGAGTCCTTTGTCTGAAGCAATCAGAAGATCATTTGTAATTTTAACTAGAGCTGTCTCAGTGCTATGATGCACTCTAAATCCTGACTGAAATTCCTCAAATAAATTATTATCCTGGAGAAAATCACACAGCTGGTCTGCGACTACTTTCTCAAGGATCTTTGACATAAAGGGAAGATTAGATATTGATAAGATAAGAGAAGATAAGATAATATATCTATTATATTGTAATTTATCTATTATATTGTAATTTATTCCCATGCATGCTGCTCCGAGTAATCTCAGTCAGCGTCTCTTCCTCTCCTTTCATGCCGTGCGCACACAGGCAGGAGCGAGTGAGTTACTATGGTTACGGGAATGCTCTGTGTCTCTGTCGCCTATGTAGAAGCAAAAAAGTCAAGGTCCCGAGCCGTGCCAGAAAGCTCGCGACCTCGCTCTTCTCTTCTCAAACGGACTTTCTTTGTCCTCCATTAGATATCAAAAA